GGCGGGGCCCCTGGGGCTCGTTTGCCCCCCACCCCTCCCCGCGGGCTCCCGGGCTGCCCCCGAGGCTGGCGCCCGCTCCCCGGGCCCGCACAGCAGCCCCGAGGTGCTTCCTGCGCGCGTTCCTTCGGCTTCGGTGGGGGCTGCCTTGCTGCGCGGCTCCGCCAGGCTCGGGGACGCGTCCCCGGCTGGCTGGAGGGAGCCTCTCGGTGTGTGCCCCCCCGTGAAGCCAGCCGCCCTTCCCACGGCTTCCCTGGTTGCTGGTGGACACCCGCCCCGGGCCTCCAAACCGGAGGACATCACCTGCAGGACTGTGCGGGTCCCCAGCCCCCCCTCTCCAGCTTCTTTTCCACAAACTGGCACATCTTTGGCTGGGCAGAACTGCGGCGTTTCTTTATGCCTACAGGAACAGAGACGCTGAGTGCGCAGCAGGGAGAGCACCCCAAGGATCACTGTCTGCCCTTGTGCCCACCTCTGTGTAGGCAGGGAGACACGTACCCGATGTAGGCAACAAACAAGGACACCCCCACCCCCTTGCTGGATTTCTTCCTGCATTTTTTGCCACTGCAAGACAGAAATAGCTGGTTGTCCTCATTGCTGTGGTCATCTGGGTGACTTCTTGTGTGACCATTCTCTGTACCCAAAGCGATTCGGATCCTGTATCACAGGGCCAACTCTGGATGCTGATTTTAATGTCCTGACACATAATCCCAGAATGGTGGGGTTGGAAGTGACCTCTAGAACCATCTCCTCCAACCCTCTGCCAGAGCAGGGTCACCCAGAGCAGGATGCACAGAAATGCATCCAGGCCGGCCTGGAATATCTCCAGAGAAGGAGACTTCACACCCTCTCTGGGCAGCCTCTCTGGCAATTCCAGGGCTCTGGCACCTTCAAAGGAAAGAAGTTTTTCCGCAGGTTGAGGTGGAATTCCCAGTTCCAGTTGGTGCCCATTGCCCCTTGTCCTGTCCCCGGGCACCACTGAGAAGAGTCTGGCCCCATCCTCTTGCCACCCGCCCTTTAGATATGGCTCAGCATTGATGAGATCCCGTCTCAGTCTGCTCTTCTCCAGCTGAACAGCCCCAGGTCCCTCAGCCTTTCCTCAGCAGAGAGAAGCTCCAGTCCCTCATCTCCATAGCCTCCACTGAACTCTCTCCAGCAGTTCCCTGTCCTTCTTGAACTGGGGAGCCCAGAACTGGACCCAGTGCTCCAGATGTGGCCTTCCCCAGGGCAGAGCAGAGGATAACCTCTCTCGACCTATGGCCATGCTCTTTTTAATGACCCCAGGAGACCATTGTCCTTCTTGGCCACAAGGGCACATTGCTGGAGAGTGGTAGGGAAGGTGGCTAATGAGAGGCAATGGCAATGCTTTGGGCTGCAGGCAGTGCAGCAAATCTGGGTGTGGAGAAGCCACACGTGCAGCTGCCCCATGTGTCATCACCCATGTTTAATTGCCCGACTGTCTGCCACTGCCAGGCTGCAGTATCTCTAATGCGCTTCGGTTCCCATGCCAGCAGAGAGCATCTGGCTTTGCATGGGGAAGAAAATTGGAAATTTAGGTCTTGAGTTGCACTATGGTGAGGAGATGTCAAGCTGAGATTGAAATTCCTCTATCTAAATGGAAATGAGCAGCGCTTCCACCACCAGGGCGGGCTCGCCTGTCCCCGCGCCCCCTGTCCTCACACATGCAGAGACTGTGGATAGCCCAGCTGTGCCATGAACGGATCGCAGAGCTGGGGGGTGTGACACGGGAGTGTCCCCCCTCCCACCACCACCACGAGAGACCCCATCTCATCCCTGCATCAAGCCACAGGAGAGCGATGCTCCCACTCTGCACTCCCAGCGACCTGCGAGTGTGCCAAAATTGTCACCCACCGCAGGGCCAGTGACCCTGTGTCCCAACAGGTGTTCGGCCCTGCCAACAGACACATTTACTGCAGCTGCCAAGATGGGAGTGAGATGTACGATGATAAAAGAAGGCTCTCACTGCTAATGGCCCTGAGCCGGACCAGCCCAGCAGAGACAATTATCGCTGTGCTGATAACAGGAGCAGCTGCTGCCAGCGCGAATTACCGAGCTGTCCCCAGGGACAGCAGTGCCGGGGCCACAAAGCCTGGGGTCACCCTGAATGATGGAACTTTCAGAGGGACCCTCAACTGAGCAGGGCAGTGAGGGGTCTGTGATGCAGAGGGGACCAGGCAACATCCCTGTGCTGACTCTCTTGCCTGCTCTGGTGTATGATGTTCTACTTCCTTTGGGATTGGCTGGAAGTCAAATGCAAGGGCTAGAGCCCTCGCCACGTGGCTGATGCACTCTCTTTCCCTACCTGGTCCCACCTGGACCGCTTATGCCAGCCCCGTGGCATCTGGGAGCTCAGCTACAAGTCACAAAAAGAAAAGAAGAAAGCCAGGAGTCGCAGCCTGTACCTCCTCCTTCCCAGCCCCAGCCAGCTCCAACTGGCAGCTCTCCCTGCACATTCTGGTCACCACCATCACAAACAGGTCTGGAGACGTTCCCAGAGCAAGGGGTGGGAGTTCCTGCCTCTCCTATGCTGTAGGCCATGGCTATGGGTCACACCTTCCTCGGTGTAGGCCTGGACAGGCACATTCTGCAATTTTTTTGAGTTTAGACAACACTTTCCTCTGGACCGCATAGTCCTTTCTGCCCTCTGAAGCATTTCTGGGGGCTCCGATATCTGAGTTTTCCCTCTCCCAAGGCAACAGGTCAGCAGAGGAAGCCATTGGGATCCCATGAATATCCCCTGACAAGACCTCAGTTACTGGAACTCCAATCTGGGCAGCACCTGGGACTCTGGCTTAAATGGCATCCATCCAACCAGTGGATCCAGTCAAGACCAGTGGGTCTTACTGCCCGCCACAGACACCCTCCATTACCTCCAGCAAGACCTTGGCACCGAGTCACCACCCAGCCCGCAGTTTCCAGAGAACATGAGCCAGGACAGCCCAAGGATGGTGGTCCCAGGCCACATCCCAGCCCCTGTAAGAGGCAGCTATGAGAGGGGCAGAGAAGATGGGGAGAGGAAGCTTGGACAGCCTGCATCTGCCAAAGGAAAAGGGAATCAGGTGCAGCACAGAGCCTGTGGTCTTTACCATAAATTACCAAAGGGGGGTTGCTCAGACGTTGGGACTTGATACTGGTGCTGTGCACACATGCAGAAAGCACCACTGTGGGAAAGCAGCTAACACAAGTGCAATCAATTAGGATGCAGTGAGTCCATGGAAGCCACACTACGGCGTCTGGAGTGCCCACCCATGGCACGGGCAGTAAATCCAAGAGCACCACATGCCCAAAGGGCAAATCAGGCAGAGTGTTCCCTCTGGAGAGTGTCCGTGGGACGCGTGAGCAGTGAGATCAAGGTGATCTACACAAAGAGCCTTCCCTGTAAATCAGGACAGGCTGTGCGTGGTCAGAGAGAGCGCGCTGAGCGCAGGCACTACAGCCAGACGTGCTGTGAATTTGCAGAGGTACCCCGTAATGCCTGCGGTAAATCAGGCCAGGCTGTGCATACACAGGGAGGCTGTAAGGCTGCATACGGGCAGTAAATCACAGCACGCTGTACATGCAGAGCAAGGTGGCCCCACACAGGAACAGTGAGGGAGGACACATGTGCGCACATTGGTCTCATGCAGGAACAGGTCAGGACTTGCTGTGTGCTGCCAATTAATGGAGAAAAATTCAGCAGGCATACATTTATCCTGGAAATTAAGAGGAAGACTTGTAGCTGTGCAGGTCATCAGGCTGAGCGTGATCTGAAGGACAGAGAATGCCTGAGGCAGGACCAACGGATGAGGACACACTTTGAATGCATGAGATGAGGGTCAACCAGGATGTGCAGCATGAGATCAGTGCCTCCCACATCCAGAAAAAAGGGTTAAAATATATCTAGACTTTCACACCCTTCTGAGGTTTTTTTTTGAAGGAAACCCAGATTCAAGAAGGAAGGCAAATGGAAACAGAATTTATCACAAATACATTCTCTTAGTGTAACTTAATGATTTTTCTTTGATAATTAACTCAGACAAGGTAATGCAGCACATTCAGGCTGGTTAGATTTAAGGAAGGATTTTCATTTGCCACCCAATAGGAACCAGTTTCCGATGCTGGAAGTTATGAATATGGACACAGCAGAGGAGGAACCACCTAATCACATAAATGTTGGGTTGTATTAAAAGGGGTGTTTCTGAGCAAAGAGATGCTTCCAGCACTTTTACTCCACCCCAGTCTTGGGCTGACCCCACCATCGTTAACAGCAAGCAGTGCAGGGCTGGGAGTGTGGAGTCATTGTGCCTGGGATGCGTTTTTGGGAGGGTCACAACCACATCACTAGCGAGGAACCATGAAGATCTCACCCAGAAGACCTGCCCGAGCATGCTGTTTTGGAGACATGCCTCCAAAATTGTGCAAGGGAAAAGACAGAACTGCTCACAAGTGTAGACTGAAAATTAGGTGGCAGCATCCGAGCATGGATGTTTTGGGACAATTGTCAACAGGGTACCAAGAGCAAGTTAACTGTTTTGAGAGGATGCTGGAGAAGCATGCTGAAGGGACTGAGCAAGGGTGGTCTTCCAGTTAGGAGCTGAAACTTTCCTCTTGTGTCAAGTATGTTGGTCTTTACGAGAAGATTTGAAAGGAGGCATTCAGCGGGGCCATATGTGTGCCACATGCATGTGTGCCACACTGCACGTTCTGCTGATAGCCTGCTGGGATCAGGAACAAATTTCTCTCCTTTGCTATAAACTTTGGCAGCCGAGTTGTTGGGTTATTCGATCCCTCTGCAGAGTGCTGTGGTTGGAGACAGAACATAGGGCACTCTCTTTTCAGAGATATTCAAGCAATTTAGGCATCACTGCTAGGGCTGGGGTTTTCAACTAATCATTAGGCTTGGGCTTAAGGGAACTTCTCCAGGCCAGAGGGGCAGGGAGGAGACACGGATGATGGCCCACACCCGGCACACATCTGAGGGTTTTGCCCAGTCCCACAAGGACCAGTTCCGGGTGGTGCTCTCCAGCCCACGAGGTGCTTGGAAGCCCTGATGGCTTATGCTGGGGCAGGGGATGAGGCTGATGCTGGCCTTGAGGCTAACCCGAGCACTTCATTTCCAGCAGAGGGGAGGCATTAGGGACTGTGGCAGAGTTTCAGCGAACACACCACAGCTTCCAAGGTGGGGCACAGTCAAAGTCTGCCCTGAATCAGCCTTTCAGCCCTCTTGGCTGCGTTCCTCCTGTAAGACTCCATCTTTTGGCCAGTGAAGTCCTGTGCAGGAGTGAGTGGAGCCCTGCGCTGGCCCAGGAGCAGGCAGAGCGGCCCAGGGCTCGTGGCCGTGCCAGCTCAGCCCTGACCGCCATGCAAGAGCGTGTTCCCAGCAGCGCTAATCCAATTACCAAACAAACTTCTTTCCTTCATTATCAGGGCTTGCAGCATGCTAAAGCAGCTTGGCCATTATGGAGGGCTTAGCAAGGGACTAGGGATCAGGCGATGAATGACAGAGCTGTTTCGTTTGCAGGGAGGAGGGACAGAGAACAGAAGCAGCCCGGAGGACACGGGGGATTGCTGGGACAAGTGGATTGGGAACTGCTACAGACAAAGGTCTCTGGTCAGCCTTCATGCTCCAAACAGGGTTAACCCCAAAGCCACATCAGGTTGCTCAGGCCCTTCTCCATCCTGGGGATTAGCCTTCTCATGAATGGGGATCCCTGTCACCTCGCTAGCTCCGTCACATGGCTGTCCCCCACCCCCCGCTTATTTCCAACCACCACTCATTCAGTCACAGGAGAGCAAAAGGCAGCACTAAAATACCCTCAGCAAGAGAGATTCAATCCAAATTTCCTGTGGAGCTGCTGATCAGCTCCCATCACAAACAGAGGATGCAACGCACCAGCCAGACCCCGCTTTCTGTGGGAATCCTTTGGGATTCAAACAGGACACAGGACCTGCTTGGATCAGCCCCATTTGAGATCACATCTCACCCCGAACCCAATGTCAAGCTGTGGGCTGGTGCTTTGCTATGGCTCTGCGTCCTGCACCCTGCTCCTACATCTTTCTTGTTGGGCCTTCTCCACCTCCTGAGGGCCCACAAGGAGCTGGAGGCTCTGTTGGGCCAGAGGTGTTGCTCACAGGTTACGGTGAATTTGCAGCCCCATTTATCCTGGTGTCCAGTCCCTCCTGGTGGTGCTATAAGAGGGGAAAAAAACTGAGTGGTCTTAGGGCAGTTCTGCTTCACTCCAAAAAGAGCCCTTCTTCACTCTGGTCAATGCTAACACTGTTTCGGGCAGGAGAGCGGACTACAGACCTCCTGAGGTCCCTTCCAACCCAAATTACCATATGAGTGTAGCCAGCAGGTGAAAAGAAGTGGTTATTTCCCTTTATTTGGCATTGGTGAGGCCACATCTGGATACCGTGCCCTGTTTTGCACCCCAAGTACAAGGAGAGAGTCCTGCAGAGGGACACTAGGATGATAAGGGCCAGAGAACATGTTGTACGAGGTTGAGGAGTTGGGCTTCTTTAGCCTGGAGATGAAAGGGCTGAGGAGGAATGTAAATGCCATGGGGAGGACTGAAAGCTACTTAGCTGAAGCACTTGGACACAAGGCCCAGCTCCAGAGCAGTTCTGCTGTCTGGCTGTTTCTGGGGGGCTGGTGCCATGCAGAGAGGTCTCACACTCCTCAGCAGTGATGTCCCTGGGATGGAGCCAGGCCACTGGGGCAGGATCACACCATAGGGCTGCAAGCTCACTGGTAGTGCCAGCACTGACTGCCAGGCACTTTGCTCCCTGCCACAGTTTCTCAATTAAAAAAAAAACAACCCACAACACAATATGTGAGGAGATGCTCCTGTGCCTTTGTTCCCTGGCTGCACAGACCCGAGAAGCCTCTCCTTTGCCATCTGCAGCCATGAAGAATACGGAGTGTCCCCAGGGATGAGCTCTGCAGTGGAGCCGTCAGGGCACAGCGGGGCTGCTGAAGGGCCCTTGAAACCTTTTGAATGCAGCAAGGGTAACCCAAGAGCATCTCAACAGATTTCTGCATCTCCAACCCTTTCTGCAGGCTCTGGTATGGCACCTCCCAGAGAAAAACGCTCCAGCTGGAATCGTCTCAGTCCCCAGCACTGGACAAAATGCCTCCCTGGGATGGAGAAGCAGCCGTGGAGCTGGCAGCAGCCAAGTGGGGCTGTAAGGAGACACCGGGCGCCCCATGAGCTCAAACTGCTGCCTTTTAAGGAGCGGCAGAGGCTGAGGCATCCTGGAACAAACCCACACAGTTTCTGCAGGCTCCCAACCGTGGCCTGCACTCAGGGACCACGCTGGCTGAGCCTGACGGTCCCCACAGCAGCTCAAAACCATGATGGGCAGCCAGGACAGCAATCCCCCAGCTACAGACAGAGTCTGGAAAACCCCAGAGCCTGTGAAGAAGGGCTCCTGCTGTGGCTGCAGTGCTCACCTGCAGCCCCATCCATCATCTCTGTCCTCCCCCGAAAACCTGCAGGACCAGCTCCTTCCCAGGAGCAGGCAGTGGTGAGGATGATGCTTTTTCACAAAGCCTTCATCAAGCCACTGCCAACACATCCCACCAACGGTTTTGCTGGTCCAGCAGTGAACTTCAGCTGCCATCCCCCTTCCCTGCTGAACACAGCAGGACCCCCAGGGAGCAGAAGGGAGAGGGAACATGCCACAGGGCAGTAACAGCAAGAGTGAGCTTAGTCCAAAGCACGGATGGAGGAAACATACGTGCAGGGGTACAGGAGTAATCAACATCAGGAACAAGGTTAAACGGCAAGATACGCATTAAATCATTAAATGCTACAGAGCACCAGGTGTATCTTCAGCCAAAGGAAGAGAAGGAGCAAGCTGGCCCAAAGACAAGGTGTCAGGAAGACAAAGAACAGGACTGGAGCCACTAAATACCCAGAGGAAGAGAACAGATCTGTGAAATTCAGGGATTTTGCCTAAGACTTACAAGGGGTGAAGGAAAACAGGGAGACAAAAGATCCCAAAGAGCATCCCTTCTATAGAGAACAACAGGCAAGTCCAAAATCAGCTCATCACTGCCTGCAAAGGGTCCCAAAGACAAAGTCGCGGCATCCCTTGTCTCTTGTGTCTCGGACGAGTGAGCTGGCTGGACTGCTTGGGCATATGGGTCTTGGTGTATGCACGAGCAAAGGAAAAATCAATATGCTTAGAGCTTTTGTGTAATAAAATCCCCTTCCCCTCCACTTTGTCACACTGAACCCCCCACTGGAGGGGTCTGCATGGAGCAGGAGGCGACCGTGCACCACTCTTATTAGGCAGTGGTGCTGCATGCGCGGCCAAGACCAGTCACTATTTACATTTGGCAAAGGATGGCAGTGAGTACCGAGCACCTGTGAGGGTAGGGGCCACCGCTGGCCCCCTGTGCCTCACTAGCCCCAGGCAGGCCCCGCTTGCCCCCTGCCAGCCTCCTCGCCTGCAGGCATAGCCGTTTCGACTCCTGCATGCAGAGCTGGCATCCCTCAGAGGCATCTCAGGCCCGTTCATGGATGATTTCTCCCCCTTTACCCATATGTCGCCTCCCCCCAGGCCTCTCCAAGGCCTCAGCTCCAGTCCATGCGTCCTGAGCTCTGCCCAGAGGCAGGTGAGGGCAGGGGGCAGCCAGCAGCCAGCCAGCCCCGCTCAGCTCCTCGGGCAGGGGGTCCCCCTAGGAGACCCCCCGAGAGAGCGGGACGAGGGGTCCAGCTGCAGCAAACCCCAGCAGCGCTGGCCATGCCCAGTGAGCTGCTTGCCGATCCGGAGCCTGTCCTTGGCCCTGCGGACAGGCCAGTTTGGGGTGCACCCGGCCTTGAGCCTGACTCGTGGTGGGTGAGGACTATAGGGTACGGATGGCCACCGGGTAAAGCAAGGACATGTGCTCAGCCCCCTTGATGGGCAGCTTGCGGCTGGCATAGTGATGAATGATTTCCGGCACGCTGTCGAAGGGCGGGCTGTGCTGACCCAGCACGTACTTGTTCTCCTGTGTCCGGGACAGTTTCATGTGCATGAAGCCCTGGCTGCTCCTGCAAGGAGAGATGGAGACAAGGTTAGGGGGTGCAGCCAGTCTCCCTGCATCTCCTGTGCACACTCCCCCAAGACCCACACCCTGCCCCTACAGTTGGGGGGACGCTGTGGCCCCCTGTCCCCAGCTATTGCCCTGCCCACACATTCCCACTCTTAGCCAACTCCAGACAAAGTCCACAGCCCGATGGAGGGCCATGTGTGGCAGTGTGCTCTCTCCTTTCCCTGCCCCGGCTCCTGCTCAAGCCATAACCATCAGTGGGAGCTGTGATGGGTTGCACCTGGATTTTGGGGGACAGCTGGCAACACAGCCAAAATACTCTCTGGAACGGGGACCTAGGTATTTTGTTCCCATGAGAATATGACTATAGGTCAATTATCTTACTCCATAAATAGTGGACAGCCCAACAGCCCTTTGAGCTCTCCTGCAGGGCAATGGCTGCACGCCAGCATCTCCCCTTGAGTGGGGATGCTCGCTTAAGGTTCTGCTCCTTGAGGTTGAGAGATTCCTTGCCGCAACAAAGCCTCGGTGGGTAACTAACAGCATGCTAAACTTTGAAATCTTAGCTAAGTAATATAAAGGATTGGTAACGCATATATAATCCTTTAGACGTCGGGGGGGGTACACAGCCTGGACAGGGGCTCTCGGGGTGATGTGGAAGCAGCTGCTTTCGCCCCTTGCACGTGACAAAGCCCCTTGTGCAGCTGCCTGGCTCGCTCAGGGGGGCTTCAGCTCACATCATCTCCCCAGCTCCCATCATCTCCCCAGCCTTACCGCAGCAAATCAGGGTTTTCTCCTTTGGCTCACAGCCCACTTCCCCCTCCCCCCACTGCACACCAACGCTGCGGGCTCCATAAAACCCGCTCAGCGTAGCAAGGCCATTTCCCGGCACAGCACGGGCACCAAGCCACGCGAGGCTGCACAGGCAGATCCTGCCACGAGCGCTGATTCCAAGTGACGGGCTAATGGCCCTGTTGCTATTAATTTGCGTCTCCGAGGAGAGCCACAGCCTGTCTGCAGCGTCTGGAATGCACATTACGGCAAAATATTGATGACTTAAAAGCAGACAGGACCTCATCAGCGATGCTGAGCCGCTTCCAGCACTGTGCAGGCCGGTCCCATCCCCCCGGCTGGAGACAGTGCCCATAATGGACAGCCCAGCTGCATTAGCAGAACGGGTCTGAAATCCATTTAGCATCCAGAGGCAAGGAAGGAGCCGGCTGCCCTCGGGGAGAGCTGCAGCTCTTGGCCCCATAGCCAGGGGAGGAGAAAAGCGACAGCCGGCCACATCCCATGTCCCAGGGCGCAGGGGAGAGCTGCATGGGCTGCACCCTGCACGGCACCTCATGAAGGTACATGGGTTTGTCCTGCATACCCACACGGTGGCACGGCTAACACACACAGTGCCCATGGGTGCTGTCTGCAGAGACCCAGCCCTTGGCTAATGCTGGCAGGGAGAGATGCACAGAAGCCCGTTGCAGCATCAGGGTCCGTCCAGAGCTGGAGCGCTGCCACAAGGGTCCACGGAGACTCGTGATGAGAGACAGATGATGCTTATCACCAGGCAGAGGTGATGCTGGTTGTGTTTTGCCCCAGTCACTCCATGAGTCTTTATCACAAGCTCAGAGACATGATGGAGAGATTGGACCCCTGGAGAGATGCCTGAGGGAGCATGCTACAAACCCAACAGCCTCACAGCCAGCAGCGGGGACAGGAGGAGCTGTTAAGCACCTCATAGCTGTGAAGAAGGACCCGAACCTTTGCAGCACGGCCTCAGCTACTCTCATGGAGGCACAAGCCACAAGGGACTCATTCACAGAGCATGTGAGGCAATGACATCCCTGGAAACATTCCAGGCCAGGTTGGATGGGGCTCTGAGCAACCTGGTCTACTTGCAGATGTCCCTGCCCATGGCAGGGGGGTGGACTAGATAGCCTTTAAAGCTCCATTCTAAACTCAAACTATTCTATGACTCTACAACTCTGCCCACAACAGGCAACATGGGGCTGTTTTGCCTGGACCAGACTGTCACAGCAGGGTTAAATCCTTCTGGCTACCTGACACGCTAAGGGTACAGCCTCTCCTGCTGCTCTCTCTTGTGCGTATTTTCCTTAAAAGCAGCACAGAAGGACTTTAGGTCAAGATCAGAGCTCTCTTTCAGACCATCTCCTCAGCTGCGCCTCCTTCTTCAAGGAAAAAAAAAAAGAAAGAGTTCAAGAAAAAAAAATAGAGAGATATGCAGACAGCCAGCTTACAGCTATATAAAAAGCATCCCAGGGGATTTTCCCTGAAAAGGCTCTACAGAGAAAGGCAATGGAGTAAAAATCCCATTCCCGAGGATGCGGACTCTCTCCAAAAGAGGTGCAGTGAACAGGTAATGCCTGGATGCTCCTGGATGGGCTGCAGTCTCCTCTGGGGAGGTGACATGCTGCTGCAAGGCCATGTCCCAACTGCACATGATGTCCGAGAAGAGGATTTGGCCATTTTTGCCAGGAGGCAAAGGATGGACAGCAAGAAGCAAGGAAAAAAACACAAGGAAATGGGTGACTGGCCTGTAGAGAACTGACAGAAAGGGACACCCATGATGGTGAGGGAGGAAGCCCCATCCACAACCCCAACACCACCTCCCAGGCTCTCCAACACACACGCTGGCTAATGCCACCCAAGAGGGTGATGGCTGAGAAGACCTCTTGCAGCAGAAGCTGCTTGTTTCAAAATTGCTTGCAAGCCAGAGCAAGGAAAAAATATTGAGAAAATTAAAACATCAGTAAAAATTATGACAAAAAAGGAAATTAAGGAGGTTTTCCGAAAAGGCTTGTTGTCTGATCTAAAAGCTACAAGTGCAGAAGTAAGAAAATATTTTCAGCTAAAGATGTGTTCTGCCTTGGTGTTGAAGGCAGTAAAAAAGTGTAAAGAAACAGAGAGAGAGAGAGAAAGAGAGATATGGAGCAATCTAATTCACAATTGTGTCCCTGGGAAATAAACGAGAGAGGCTGAAACCACCAGGGAGCAATGCAGGTCTAGAGACCCCTGGGGAAACCTAAGAGTATATTGAGGGAAGTGTAGGGATACGTGGCATGTTGTTAAGACAGAGATGACTAAAGTGCTCAATAAATACTTTCTTCACATGGGCAGGATCAGAGCTAATAGACCTGCCCTGTAGGAGGGCAAGAAGGTATTTGCTAATCCATCATCATCTTCAGGAAAGTAACAGCTTTGATTTTGTGAGTCCAGGCTGTCCCAAGAGTCCTGAAAGAGCTGGATGAGGGCAGCTTCTCCCTGGCAGGACATGAGGTGATGTTTTGTGCAGTTTTGTCACTAAGGAAAAATTTGGGGAGGGTGCAAAGATCCCCCCCAAAAAAACAAGCAGAAACCAAGCTGTGCTGTGGGGATGAGGTTTTCCTGCTGGGAAACCAAAGCAGACCTCTCTACAGCAGGGATGAGCAAGGGCTTCTACAGTTACGTGGGCTGGGGAGGCAGGGATGGGTACCTGCATTTCCATCAACTACAGGATCACGCAAACTTCATTTTCCCATGAAACTAAGCTATGAAAAAAAATAAAAAGGGGTAACAAAGCCAGAGCTGGAAGCTATAACCAGACACATTTGAGTGAGCAGTGAGGCACATCATTTGATCCGTCTGAGGGATTACCGGTGCTACAAGGGAAGCACAGCATGACTCCAGATCTATGAGCATTCCCGAGTAATACTTTTGCCAGACACCAAACCAGAAGCCTGTGCCACACCACAGGGAAGCACAGACTTCGTATGCCAGCCACTTCTGACCACTCTGTGGTCACCTCAAGAGTCACACCATGGACAGGGATGGCACATCACATCCGCATGGGGCACTCAGTGTCGAGGGGTCACCCACGGCACCACTGCGGGCACAGTCGCCCCCCCAGCCCCTCCAGGGTCACTCACTTCAAGGAGAGGGAGAAGTCATTCTTGCTGGTCTCGCTGTTGCGCACCAAGTAGCTGGCCTCCTTGCAGAGCCTCAGCAGCGTCTCGGCGTCCGTCCGGCTGATGGCCCCGTGGTACCAGCTGGAGATGGGAGAGGGATTGGCTGTGCCAGGCAGAGAGCAGACACCCCGGGCAGGACCCTGCCCTGGGGCAGCAGCAACGCCAGCACCCCCTGCACCTCCCCGGGGACAGCAGCCACCTCCAGGGAGGAGGCGGCAGGTGGCACCGCCAGGGCTGGGGGACAAGGGGCAGGACTCCCACTGGGCAGCATGCGGGGGTGCAGAGGGCACACAGGAACACCATGACGGCAAGATGGGCGGTGGGGACAAGCAGGCAGAAACACAGGGCCAGGGAAGAAGCAAAGAAGCAGGTCTGCTCTGGGGCTCCTCACAGTGTCCCACAGGGACCCTGGCGCAGGCTCGGGGCAGGCAGGACTCACCACTGGTTCTCCAGAGGCAGGGCAGGATCAATCCTCTCGCCGAGAAAGGGGCCAGGCTCAGCGATCAGTGTCTTCATGCTCTTGAGACTGCTGGAGCCATGCCTGAGGGCAGTCCTGGCCTTCTCCTCCCTGCAGGGCGAGGTGCGGCTGTACCCCAGCCCCTCTGACGGACCTGTAGGATGGACACACGTTGCAGCTGGCGGTGGGGACAGGTGAGGATCCCAGCTTTCCCCCCCTCCCACGGAGGGAGCCCGCAGAAAGAGCCAGAGCCACGTCACGTCATGATGGGTCCCCTCTTGCTGCCCTGTCCCCTGCCCTAAGCAAGGGCAGGGCAGCTCTTGGGCTGCTGCTCACTGTGGTGCCCCAGGATAGCCAGGGTTGGGTCCCCACCATGTCAGGACCAGGGTCCTCTCCATGCTCAAGCCCCTGGAAATATTTTCCAGGGAGGTTTTAAAAGTTGAGAGAGGTTTTGCTAATGCAACCAGAGATTCAGCAGTAGTGGCGCAGAGTTAAGCAAGAAGCAGTATGGAGAGGCTCTCCAATCTTGAAAAAAAGAAAAATGAAATTAAATTTAAAAAAAAAAAGAGAAGGAAGTAGATGGAGCTAAAGAGAGCAGTCAGTTTGGAAACTATGGACACATTTCTGCTGGCACAAGTAAACCTCCTGGGGTGAAAAAAAATCATGCCCCGAGGTGGGAAGGGGACATTTCAACTGTGAGGTGCCTCCCCCCGATGAAGCCACGTGCCCCGCACCAGCCCGGCCACAGTCCCCGCACACCAACAAAGAGTGGTGGCCCAGTATGTGCTGCCCGGTGAGCGGCAGGGGATTAACGGAGACATGCCCCAGGGACCTGGCCTCCCGCCGACTGTTATTTCCGTGCGGGATGATTTCAGCATTAACAATATTGTTTCTCCCTCCTCCAGAGGGTTCATTATTGCTCCTCTGCAACACAAGCCCCCTCGCACAAATTACTTATTGATTGGGCAGAGCTGCCTTGATGCACGGCTGCCAGCGACTGATGCCGCGGAGGCACAATGGCCCCAGAGGTGGCCGAGCCCGGGCCGGTCAGCTTCCCCCCGCCATGCTCCCGGCTGCTGGAGGGGGAGGCAAGAGCAGGGCGACCCTGGGCCAGCAATACCCACAGAGGGATGTTCTTCTCTCCAGCAGGGCATTCTCTACGGCAGCAATTTGAGGGACACCTTGTTTGGGCCCTTTGCAGGCGAGCAGTCTCCAGCCCCCCAGCACCGAGGAGAGAGGAAGGCAGCCAGAGGGAAACCTAGCCAAAATCCTCTGCAGTTTAGTGTGCCTTAAACCACACTTCCCCCCACCCCTCCTGCCCCAGAAGGACCACAGGGAGGAGGTGCCCAACATTAAGGCTTGACAGGCCCTGACTCTGCAGCTTTTCACTGGCCAGGCTCGCCCCTGTACATAACAGGCTTCAATTTCAACTCATCACCTTAAAAAATTAGGGTGATCATTAAAAAGCCAGTCAATCAAAACACCGAGGTGTTTGCTGGCGGCACAAAGTCATCCTGTTAGAGGCTGAGAAGAAATGCATTGCAACTGTCAGAGAGAGGCAGAGGCATGTACATGATTAAACAGGATATTAAAAACAAACCCCTAGGAGTAAGACGACATCCTTCAAGGAGTTCGAGTCACCCCCAGACAGGGGAAGTAGAAAATAAGACAAAAGTCTGGCAAGATAAACTTAATACAACAAAGCAAGTCAGGGAAAAAAAAAAAAAAAAAAAAACGGTGCATAGCAAATTAGATTTAAAAGGGTACTTTTTCCCTTACAGCTATTTCTATCATTTTCTTTAAAATTTCAATTTAGTGTCTAGTGACAGAATATTCTGTAATGTACATTAGAACTATATAACACCAATTATGCTAACTGTGAACATTATTTCAAAAGAATTAGTTATATTAAGTTATAGACAAACCGTTGGGAAAAAAAGGTCAGGTCAGGGAAAAAAAAAAAAAAAAAAGAGAGACTGTGTTGCTAAAACCAGGAAAAATGACAAACTGATATGTTCATCAGGAGCAGGATGCATGTCAGAGCGACTGCAGGGATAATAAATGACGGGGGAAGAGAAAAAGCTGCACAGCACAGAAATTAATTTTTCTTGACACCTGCATTCATTGTAGGAAGAGGATCAGGAAGTTTCCCCCTGCCAGACCTTTCTTTTTGGGGATTGATCTCAGCCTGCAGCATCCCCGCAGGGTTGGGACAGACCCCGAGGCAGCAACGGCACAGCAGCCGCATCGCTCTGGGGTGTCCCTGCCATCGGCAGCAAAATCAGCTGCCACATGCGGCCTCGTGCTCAAACCCACTCGGGAGGCAGCAAAAGCCACGCTGCTTTTTCTTTAGGAAGCTCTGCAGGGATCTGGGTAACTGCAGATAAGGAAATCAGACATCTGCACCTGGCAGGTCACCATGTCCACCAGGAGCAGCGTGAGCGAGGCAGGGGCAGGCACAGCGTGCAGGGCACTGCCGCCCATTTGCAGAGAAAAAGTCACCTTTTGCAGACCAGTCCCAGCTCTCTACAAGAGTGGCAGCCCAACCCCAAAAGCCTGGGTAGCTTTTGAGAAACGCCCTCACCTAATGCTCTTGGCAAAACGCTAAATCCACCACAGCATCAGAACAAGGTCCTTCAAATATTAATAATGGGTTAGAAGAGAAGCAGTGATATTTGGCTTGCCTAAGGAAGGCTGCCAGCAGAGTCCAAGGGGGATTTGCATGGGGGCTCTGCTGCTCAGCATACACAAGAATAGCTTCACAACAAGGCAAACCGGAGATGACAAAGTGTGCCTGGGAGATTTTGCTGTTCGGGATAGCAAATATGAGAGCGAAGAATCCAGAGGGACCTCCTGCCACTGAGCAGCAAGGTAATAAATAGCAGAGGAAACGGAGCCATGCTAAACGACAAAGCAAGGTGCACGTGGAAAAAAACAACCTCAGCTTTGGTGGCAGGGTCTGAATTAGCTGCTACCACACCTGTAAGGGACCTGGGTATTAAGTCACAAGAAAACATCAGCTAAGCGCTCAGTTATCAAGAAGACTGTAAAAGCAGCCATCAAATTTTGGGAATTTGGAGGCAAAGAGGAGAGAACAAAAGAGAAGACAGTAACTCTGCCACCAAATAATCTCCTGGTGCAGCTTGACTGCTGCGTGCAAAGAGGTGTCGTGGAGCTGGAGAAGATGCAGAAGAGGCCAGGACAAACGTCTGGCATCTGGCACAGGACAAGCGAATGAGCCAGGAGGAGGTGGGGGAAGGCGGAGGGGGAGGGTGGATGTCTGGCAGCCAGCTCCAAGGTGTCGCAGCATCTCGGCGCCGGTGGGGCAGCAAGGCAGGGTTGCAGTGAGCACCGGCCACAGCCCTCCCAGACACCCCGCTGTCACGCGAGACCCACCGTTGGCGTCTTCGTAGCTGGGCTGGCCCTGCAGCAGAGGGACGGAGGCACCAGCCTCACCGTCCGGGGGGCTTTCACGGCTGTCGAGCTGTCCCACCGGCGGTGGCCATGGCAGGTCTTTAATGACCTTGATTTCAACTGGATGGGGTGGGGTAGGAGGGGGTGGGAAAGAGAGAGAAAGAGAAAGAAAGAAAGAAAGGGCTTAGAAAAAAACATCAGCAACACCAGACCCACAGAGAAGGAGAGCATTTGTGGGCAGAAAGACATGAGGACTACATTCCCAGGAGCCCTATGCCAGCTTGGTCATCTCGTACCCTCCCCAGAATCGAGCAGGAACAGGCCTGACGTAGAGCATGTTCCTGATGGAGAGACCCTGCTTCTCCGTCACTTTTCCCAGACAACCCTCTCTGCAGGGGGAGCCTGCGATCACCCCCATCCCACATGCACATCCAACCGAGCATCCCATTGCCATCTGTCCTGCCTGTGCATCCATCTTGCCCCAGGTGCTTCCCAGCCACTCCGCAAGGTCCACGTTCCCCTGCCAGGAGCCAGCGAGTTGCTGCCTTATGCCGGTACCAGCTGCCCATCAGCAGGGGTCTCACAGACCTCCCAAAGGGGGAAAGGGTCAGCAGAGAGATCCCGGCATCGCAGGAGAGAAGAAATGCCCTGTGAGCCATGGCAGGACCTGCTCTGGGAGAAAACAGGCAGCAGGTCCTCTTGTGGCCCGGCGCTGAGTCCCCTTGAGACTCAGAGCAAACCTGGAGCACCCACGAGCATCCACATGTGAGCCAGACCTGCGACCACATTGCCTCCACCCCAGGACATCGAGCGAGACAGCTCATCCGCCCTGACCCAGAGCACAGACACCGCAGCACAAACCCTGCCTGGCAGCACCCAACGTCTTGTGACGGAGCTCAACAAGCCGAACCCTCGGCACAGCACGGTCACCAGCCCCGTACCCGACCAAGTCCCAGCAGTACCAGTGCAGCCCTGGGCACGAGTAGAGGCCGCAGAATCGAGCCCGGTTTACACATCGCCAGCTCGCAGAGCCCAAACCGCTCCTGAATCTGAGCTCCCACGCCTCTCTCCACCAGCATCCCGACACAGCGCCGACAACCGCCGGCTGCAGTGCAGACACACACTGCTGCAATTAAAATGCATCCTAGACAAGAGCATGGCAATTAGCCAGTGCCAACGGAGGAGCCAGCACTAATGCACAGCATGGATTTCCTCATTAACAAACACAAACACAATCGATCCCGCAGCACGGATAAATAGGTCAGGGGTCTGGACGATCACCTGGCCAAAGGCTCCTGGGGGAGCACCCAGGTCTCCTCCTGCCCTGAGGAAGGAGGGATCTGCTGGAGCCCAGGGTACAGCCTCCCCACTGCAGTTGGGGTTGAAGGGGGTCAATTTGCACTGGAGGCTGTGATCAGTTAGAGGAGGGAAGAGGCAACAAGAGACGAACGCTGGACAGGCTGCCAAGGCAGCTCCATCCACCACTCTGCCCAGCCCAACTCCCTGCTGAAAAGACACAGTCTCTGCAAGCACACAAGTGAGCCAGGAAAATGCAGAGGCCAAGACTACTGACCCCAGAAGATGAAGGAATCCCCCAGGGAGCCAGCTTCCCCCCTGCAAAACGCACCACAGCATTGGTTGCTATATAGCTGCTGTTCATCCTTTATGGCTGCACCCATCACTCACCGGCAAAGGCTTTGGAGATCCGCTCCTTCTTCCACTCCCAGGGCTGGTCGTATTCCTCTGGTGGCCTCTCATCATCCTCCGGCAGTCGGGACTCCCTGGGTCTGGAGCAAGCTGGACGGTCGCCATCCATGTCCAGCCCTCCAAGCACGGGCTCGTAGGGAGTATCGTAAAGGTGCAGCGGCCGGGCAGGAGCCTCCCGTAAGCCCTTCTGGCGGATCTCTAGTAGGAGAAAAGGGAAAAGACCATGAGCTTTTTGCCCAACACAGCCTGTCCACGGTCCCCAAAGCCCTGCTTAGATGAAAGGGCTCGGTTTCACCCAAGGGTGAAATGGGGTAGGGAGAAGCAGCAATGGAGGAGACCCCTCAAACCTCCAGCAAGCACCTGCCAGAAGAGGGGGAGCGGCTGGGCAGCCAGGTCCTGGGCAATCCACAGCACCAGGACCCCTTCTCTTCCCACAGTACAGCATTCCCAGTCTCAGGTAGCCCTGCAAAGCGGAGTCCATGGGGACAGAGCATCCCAGAGCCCAATTCCCCACCAGCAGCGAGACCGAGTTTCTTTCCTGGACACCCAGCGTGGCTAGTTTAATAAAATGCCCTTCCCTTCAGCGAAACAGAAGTCCCTCCTGCAGACACAAGCAGCCTCTTCGCCACTTGCCAATATTTCCAAGAAATGCAATGGCCTCCTCCAAAAAGCCACATGAGCTTTCCACAAACCACTTGTTCCAGAAAAACCACGGGACTGCAAAGCAGACCCAGAACTTGGAGCATACAAGCTGGCATGGCAACCCTGTGCATGCCACAGCAGCAAGAGCAATGCCTTCACTCTCACCTCGCCTGCTTTCCAGTCATAAACAAGCCCACTGGGGACCCTGCTGCTGCAGCAGACAACGGCAGGCTCTGGCCCAGTCCTAACCAAATTAAATAGCTCCCACAGTCATCTTAGTTTTGTGCCAGATGCACTGAATGTCAGGCGTCTCCTGGCTCAGCCTGGCAGGCAGGCACCAGAGTCTCAGGGGACAGCACCACAGGCAGGAATATCAAGGTGCCTTGATTGCTCTGGTAGCCTTGGAGAGTGCTCTGGCTACTGCCTGCCCATCGCACACAGCTCCAGCTGTGAAAATTTGCCTGCAAAGCAGCTGTGCACCACTGCAGCAATTGCCCAGGATTGCCTTGTGGGGAGGACTGGTGCTGTCACAGGCTGCAAGGAACAGTGGCCACCAAATTCACATGGCAGGGGCCAGTGGTGCAAAGAGTGGCCTTTGCATGGAGACTTCCACCTTACCAGCCATCATCTTCTGGGCTTCATATGGCTCCATGTATCCATCGTTCTCTGTCACCTTCTCCAGCCCTGCCTGGCTACCAGCCACCTGAGCCGCATCGAAGGGATCTGCGTAGTCCTCCAGGACAGGCAGCTGGAAGAGAGGAAGGGTAGGAGAAGGATTAGGGTACTCCCTGCCTTTACTGGGGAAGAGGTTCAGGTTGAAGTCCCCTTGAAACCTCACCAGGAGCTCTGCCAGCAGCAGCCAGAGCAGCAGCCAGGATGCCAAGCCACACCACGGCACCCTGCGGAGCAGATGCTGGCAGCCGGTGGCTTCCCAGGCACCGGTGCCTGGCAGTGGAAATGCTCCAGCCTTTGTCCCAGAAGCTGGAACGGAGCCAGGCAGAGCAGAAGGCGGCCCGGGGAGGGGGCCAGGGGGTCGGTGCTGCCAGAGCCTGTGCAGACACCCCAGCAAGGCCCCCGCCATGGCACAGGGCTGCTGGCAGTGCCATCACCCCCCACAGCAGGCAAATGCTCTCCCTGAATACAGCCAGATTTCCTCAACCGAAGCGGAGAAGGGCCACAGATCCCAGTACAGTGGTGTCAGCTGGCACTGGCATGACTGGGAACTCACTGGTTATTTTCCGGGGCTCCTGCAGGCTCGCTTGAAGACATTTCTTAACAAAAGGACTAAGAACAGACTATAGCTTCCTCCCTGCTCCTCCCAGGACCCTGCAGCATCCCAGGTAACACAAGACAGGGCTTTTCCATGCAATCAGGAGTCACCAGGAAGCAGCACCAGGAGCCTCTCAAGTGTCATGTCTCAGGGATGGCACAAAAAGCCCAAGGTTTGCCCCTACTAGCAAAAAGGAGACGATCCTGCAGTAGGATATGGGTCATCTCTCAGAGCTTGGTCCCCTCCAGCGCCAGTCACACGATGCTCCAGCATCTCAGTAGCTTCCCGGATGGAGCACTCCATGGCACAATGCCACAGCCCCTGGCAAACTGGGAGCTGTACATCTCACCTCCAGGACAAAAGCCTGGTCTCAAAACAGGGCCAGGCGATATTTCCAGCACCTCTGCCAGGGTCTGCTCAGCCACCAGGCTGTAAACCCCAGCTCGACCATCTGGCGAGGTGGGGTTTGCCAGCACAACACCAGCTACGCAGAGCTCCTACAGCAAGGACCGAACCGGCTGGGCACAGTGCAGCACCGCATAAACCCACCAGGCGCCAGGCTCTGTCCTCACTGCCACCCCATCCCTGCTCCTGGCCAGCCTTGGGGACCAGGGCCGCTCATGCATTCCTTCCCAGCTCCCATAATCGGCTTAAAACAAACCACTTCTTCCTCCTTCCTGTGCAGAATGGCCTGACAATAGCCTTGAGCAGCAATACCCAGCAGGAAAAGGGAACAGGAACTGGAGCTGTAAACACCTCCGTGCAGTCCTGAGCCTTCACATCCCTCTGAGATGCAGGAGGAACGGGGTTCCTGGCGCCCCAGCTCCCCAACTCCTCCATAAACATCCCAGCTCTGGGCTCCCAACGCAGTGGGGAGCAGGGGCAGGTCTCCAGTCCTGGCCCCCCCATACCGGGGTATAAGCAAGTGGCAGAACATCACCCCCAAAGCAAACCCCACCAGCTGCAGGGCTCGCAGCCACCCTGGGCGGGCACAAGGTGGGGGTTCAAACGTGGGAGCAAAGCCGGTGCTGTGGATTGCTCTCGCCTGCTGCTGCAAGGCAGCAGCAGGACAGATGGTTGCTAGGGGTGCTGGTCCCCGCCGGATGAGAGGGAAAGAGCAAACCCCCCCGCTGGCTCCGCAGGCAGCGCCAGCAAGCCAGGACGGGGCTGCAGGAACAGCCAGTTTTGCAGCAGGAGACAGGAAATCTGTTCTCGCATCCATCATCTGAGGGAGACCCAGCACCGCTCAGCCCCCGCTGGGCACCGAGGGGCGATGCTGAGCCCAGGGGGATGCAGCCCTTCGCTTTCCACCGCGGGGCAAAGCCCCCCAGGGAAATCTAAGTCACGGCTGACTCTGGCAGCTGCTCAGCCCCTGGGACCCCACCTAATGCCTGCAGGGCAGGGAGACAAGCAACAGTGACAGCAAATTCACTGTGGGGAGCCCCTCCGGTTTCTAAACACCCTTTTCCTCTCTAAGGCAAAGAGGGTCCCAGCCTGTGGCAAGCAGGTGCCCCCCCCTTGCTGCCACCCAGACACCAGGGCAGGTCGGTGCCCTCTGCTCCCTGCCGGGAGACCCTGCGGGCTGTATCCTCGCCTCAGAAAGTCACAAAGACGCTTTTGCTCCATCGAAATGATGTCTGCAGAGCAGAGCTCCACAGCCCCCCATGCCAAAGGAGGCACAAGCAGGCAGGCATCCCCACAGGCACAAAGAAAGAGGCTCGATGGGTGAGAAGGCAGCACTATGCCTGATGCTCACCCTTTATAAAGAGGACTCATGGCCCCAGGCGTGCTGCAGGGCTGTGAAATAGGGTCTGCTGACCCTCCTGGGTTCAGAAATGGGTTCCCTGCTGGTTTCTCCCACGCCCAACCTGCCTGCACTCAAATCTGCCACAATCCCCATTTCCGAGATGCATTTCGCTAGACAGACACAGACCCCACTTGCTGCTGGCACCAGTACTGGACCCTCCAAGACTCTCTTGCCCCACAAGCACAGAGCAGCTTCAGAGAAGTCAGGGCACCAGCATAGCAGCTCAGCAGCCGAGAGGCTCCTTTGCAGGCCACGGTCATGTGGAATATGGCCCACTCTGTATTTCCTCAGCGCTTGGGTCCAGCTTCCCAGGGAGGGACACAGGAGCCTCAGCGAGCTCACTCAGTGGCCCACACTTGGACGCCTCCAGCTCCAGGTCTAGAAAGTAAGAGGATGGTGGAGAATCCAAACACGACTCTGCTGAGGCCCCTAAAACTGGATGTTTTGCTTGTGTGGAGGTGCAGCGGCACCCAGCAGCAATTAGAGGGGCTCTACGCAGGCAAGATGTGATTTGCTGGGCTTAATTTAGATCCAGAGCAAATGGCTTAGATCAGGGGCTCGAGTCCCTGAGCTCCCTATGTTTGGGGGGGTTTTACCACACTGGCTTTACTCCTCCACTACCTCAAGGATGCCTTTTCATAGAGCAAAGTCTCCCCACCATTGCATGCTGAGAACGTAAACCCATTCGTTTTTCAAATGGTCAGATATTAGAGTGGAGAGCCACGGAAAAGCTGGGAAGGCAACTCCTCTCTCCAGGAGCATTGCAATCTCGGGATGCGAGCGAGTGAGAAGGGTACCTCAAGCCCCGAGGGACTGGAGGCTCCAGCATGCCAGGAACAGGGCAGGGCTCTTAGAGGGCAAACAGTGGGGATCGTGCCATTACCGACTGCATCTTAATGCCCTTGTACATGGGGCCAAATTAAGGTTGCCCGGGAAACTGCATCTCTGACATTTCCTCATCCGAGCGCTGGACTTTATGAGCAGCGCAGGGCTCTACAGCAGCCACAGTGCAAGCAGCTGCTCCCCCGATGCGGGAGGGGGCCACCGCCCCAGGCAGGGCAGCTCCCAGGGGTGCCTCAGCACCCCCCAGTTCAGTCAAAAGCCAGGCATTTCCATGCTTCACTCACCTCCCGCATCCTGGAGGGAGCAGCTCACTGCCCAGCGCCACTTGGATGTCTCAGTACTGGGCATCGCCGGCTCACACACAGCACAGGCTTTGCTAGATTTGGAATAACTGGGGTGCAAAGCACACGTGCAATGTGCAAAGCCACCATCCCGGGACAGCTCTTGGTGCAGAGCAGTCCTTCAGAGAGCAACCCGGCACCATGTCCTCTTTGACCACACAAGTATTTTTCACACGTTTATCTGCCATGGCGATGCACAGCCTGAGCCCTGCTGCAGCACCAAGGCTGATCTCGCGGTATTATTTATGCCAACTGTAAGAAAAAAGGAAAACTAATTAGGGCGAAGGGCCAGATCATCACTGGATCCTTGCAATAAAACAGGGAAGGCAACAGGCAGCGGCTCTGCAAGAGAGTTCACAGTTCAGACACCAGGATCCCAGGCTCTTTGCCCCATCTTGCCTACAAATATCCTACCTGCCACCACCTTTTGCTGCAACAAGAGGCTCCACTCTACAGAGAGGTCCTCAGAGGACACCTGGGGAGATGCTTCACTCTATAAACAAGTTTCTTGCCCTGGAGATAAAGCATTTGACGTGCCCCCAGGAGATTGCCGAGTTTCACGCTGAAGCCACTCTGAGTTATAACCAAACTCAGTTTGTTTTCTCTGTCAGGTGCAAAATCTACACATCTTGCAGCTTGGCTTTTGGTGGATGCTGAAGCCAAACCCAAACCCAAAAGCAAACCAAGCACTGGCCTTCCAAGAAGTGTCCAGTTGGCAGCTCAGGGGGGTGGCTGGGCCAGGCCGGGGGGGCAGGTCTGTGGCCATGGCAGGGGAGGAGGGAGCGCAGAGTGGACACCCAGCACGGTGCAGGGTGACTCACTGCAGGGAGGCTCTGGCAGGAAAGACACACACCCAGGAGCTTCCTGGTCGGCCGTTCCCACACCCGCAGCACGGACCCTGGACTCCCAGCAAAGCCACCAGCAACCTGTCCCAGCAGGCACAAAACAAAGATGTCCCCAGACACATCTCCAACCCTGTCCCCAAGCACACCATGACCTGGGTGCAGGTGTCACCCCATACATCCCTCACCTCATCCTGGTGGCATTGCTCCTCACGACTAATCCAAACACAGCAGAGAAGACATCTCCAGGGTACCCACCTTACTCAGGTGAGCCATACAAGGCCAGTCTGTTGTCCACTGCCTGGACCAAGCAAGAGGGAGCAGGGAGGACCTATGCTGCTCCTCACCATGTCCAGCCAGCATTTGTAATGGAGCAGGAGCTGTCCCAGAGCTGCCCACAAGATACTGTGGATCCCACGCAAGGGGAAAAGATGTTAACACTCACTTGACAATGGCAAAGCATCGCACAGCACCCATGTGTGGCCCAGGCAGGAGGGATGCCATTGCCAAGACCTTCCTGCCCCATCTTTGATTATCCAGAATGGGCAGGACATCTACAGTGGGCACAGGGAACATGGTCAGTCCCCCAGCCTCAACGCAGTGCCCGTACCACAAAGCACACTGCCTTGGCCAAAACACAC